GCTGCTGGAACTTGAATCACACGTGGAGACCTCAACGGAGCCACACCACCACTGTACCCGGTTACATGAGCCTGTTAGACCCGAACATCCCAACCCACACACCACGTGCCCCCTGCTCATCACTTCCAAAAAAATTTACTCAGACAATTCTGTCCTGCCTTCAGCTCCTTCATCTGCCAGTTCATAAATTAAATGTCACAGGCAGTTTCTAGAGACGTAGAACTCACAGAGGAAGAACAGTGACAGCAAATTCACTGCTCTGCAGATTTCTGTCCAGGGCCCTTGTCCTTGGCACCAGACACAGAAAGAAAAAGCTCTTCCCACCCCCCTGGAGCCCCCAGCCTCTGCAGCCTGACCTCTCCCAGCAGCCTGAAGGTAGCTGTTCCAAAGCAAAGGACAGCAGCTACCCGGTGAGCTGATGGGCTGAAGAGAGCAATTTAAAACAGTCAGAAAGCTGCGGTGTTAACCCCTCTCTGCTCCCTCCCTGCTGCTGGTTGGGGTGGCTCTGGTGTGCTCAGGCGCACAGCGCTGCCAGCCGGGAGGTCACCACCGCAGCGTCCTTTGCATAAGTGAATGAAAGAAATGACTCAGAACAACACCACGAACGCAGCACCGCCAGCTTCCAGAGCCAGCTGTCTCAGCACAACTCACAACTGGCAGCCACAAAATTAGATTAAAAAGCGTCCTCATCTCCTGCAGATGACAGCAAGGGAGAGGCAAAGGGGGGAACGAGCTCCCCGAGTGCCTGGAGAGGCCCGAGCAGATGTGAGCTGGTGAATAACCACAGGAGCATCACCCCCAAGCACGAATCAGGCCTCCAAAATTATCACACTGGTCGTGAAGAGATTGGAATAAATGGGGGAAGCAGGAGAGGCTTCTGCCTGCCTTACACCCTCTGAGCCACTGAAACACATTTGCCCCATGCTGTCTGATCTCTCCCTGCAGTGGGGAGCTCCAGCAGCTTCCTGAGGAAGCACAGCTGCATCCGTGTCCCAACCAGACCCAGAAACACGAGGGAGGAGCTGGATGCGCCGCTCCGTTCCGCTGGGTACAGCACAGGTCTCACCTGTGCAGCGTTCAGGCTTCAGCACCACTTGTGCCCGACACCCAAACAAGACCCAGGACACAGGGGAGGTTCTGTTCTACCAAAAACCGCCCCTCTGAGCAGGGACATCCCTCGCTGCTCTTCCATCACTGGCTCCGTGCTGCTCGGAGCAGCCACATGTGGTGAAACACGAAACACAGATGGGACTGGGACCTGGAACAGCCGCGTCAGGACGCTGGGACCCCAGGAGAGGAGCAGCCGTCGCCCAGCTGGAGTTCAAGCAACAGGGAGAAGGTGACCCCACACACATCTCACTAAGCACCTACATTTGTCAAAAGTAATGGACAACAATGTCTAAAGATCAGCATTTATAACCAAAACCATGCAAGTTCCTCACCACTTTTTAAATTAATAGCAGCTCCATGAACTTTACTTTTCAATGGAGAATAAATACCAGAAGAAACTTTCATCCACCCCCCATTTACTTCAGCTCATCACTGTTTTCAGAAAAAAAATCAAGAGAGGGAAGCCCACATTTGAGAAATGAAGATCAGCACGCTGAAAGGTTGTTTTCATTCTGTGTATTAGGAGGAAGTCGGGTCCTTCTGAGCAGCTCTTGGCTAGATACTGACCATTTGAATACCGTTAGTTTTCAAAAGCACTCACAGTTTCACTTCAGCAGCAGGTTTTGATTACATTCAGAACAAACAACCAGAGAACACCGCAGCTGTAACACCGCGAAAGCGCAAGAAAACCTCTTCTCCATCTCTGCTTTTCTTTCAGTGCAGATACGATAACCAGACACAAAGTGTTCAGGGGAGGGTGGATCAGACATGATCGTCATCGTCCCATCCTGAGAACAGTCCAGCGTTCACGTCACCGTATTTCAACACCTCACCACCTCCATGGGTCAGACGGGGATCTGGGAGTGGTGCAACAGCACAAATTGGTCAGCAGACACACGGGGGTTGGTTTCTCAGACTAGGGAAGATGCAACACTAACTAACAGATACCCATCCGCTGCTGCTCCACTTTTTTTTTTTTTTACTTTTTTTAATCTTTTGTTTATTAACCTTGAGACAACCCATCGACCTTCTTGAACAAGACCACGAACACCAATTTCCTGAACACGCGGGCACACGGTGCCCAGCTTCACCAGCTCGGCAGAGCCTCCTCGGAGTCTGGAGCCTTAAGATGATCCTGGTACCAAGCCATACTTCTGCCTCAGGATTTCAACCGTAGATGTCAGTGCACTGTGGGGTGAAACAACTGTAAGAAAACGGGTTTTTAAGGATTAAACTGCATTTTCTGGGAAAGAGCAATCAGCTAGACTGAATTTTGAATCCAGGAGACATGAACTCCAGAAACCAGAGTGTTTCACGCAGAAGCTTCTAGAAAGAGGTCTCCTGGGCTCAGAATGTGGGGTGCTCTTTCAGGATTTCTGAGTGTGCTGGTAATTAAGCTGAACAACATTAATGTGAAGGTCCAACTGCTATGGGAAAAGAAGCAAAACACAACCCACCCTGACTTGAAAGCTTCATTTCATTTAAAGAACAGAAAAAGCTTCAGCTGTATTCAGCAAAGTGCTCACCAGCCAGGACGAATGATGGTGAACTTCCCCGACACAGACAAGTCAACCACGGTCGACCCCAAACGACACTCTGGGCTCTGGACACCCCCTATTGGGCCTCCATCGATGATTAAGGACAAGTGAGGCCACAGGTCTTGGAATTCCTGACAAAAAGAGATGCGGCTAGCAGTCCTGAGGGTGGTTTGTGATCCTATTTTCACGGACACAACTGGACAGTTTGGTGTCACCGGAGGTGGTCTCCCCCCTTCCTCTGTCAGCTCAGCTCACTTTTTTTCCTGTCGTGAACACATCCCAGTTTTAATTCTGAGAACAGATTTATCTCAGACATGGAAGAAAGCCACAAGAATTCTCTGGCTGAAGACTTCTTAGCTGCACCACTGTTCACCAAGGAGCGCACCAAAAAAGCCAGAAGTCTATCAAGACATTTTGGGGCAAGGACAGGGCGTCTGTCTGGTGCTGTGCCCACCAGGGTCACAAGCTTTGCAGAAAGACATCATCTCCCTGAGTTACAGGCAGTTACCAGGCTGCAAGGAGCTGCACAGACAGCAGCAGTCTCCTTCCACAGCCATCCCTCCTACTGCAGTTTCCATCTTCCAGATTTGACACCCACTTCTAAAGCTGTGTACAAGCGTTTAAATGTTACTTTGCAGCTCTGCCCTCCTCGCTTTTTAAGGTGAGGACCACAGCAAGACAGCTGCCCCACACCAGGTATCCCCAGGCTGTTTTAACTAAAGGTTATAATTAAAGAAAATTTTAAAAAAAGCAGCAGAGAAATCCTTGTTTTATTGCTAAAGCTGGCTTCCAACTGCGAGAGCCTGGGGCTCTGACAGACTATTGCAATAACGTCAATTAGTGGCAAAACCAGCCTTACCGAAACGGTCAGCGTGCTCGCCTGGCAGCTGATGTTAGCGCTCGTTAAAGCCAGTGGTCCAGAGCAAGCTCGTGCCACCTCCCTGACAAAAGGGTGGTTTGGAATACGGACACCAACCAGCTACAAGGAAGAAGAGAGCACGGTGTTACACGCAGGAGCTGGGTTTAATCTCGCATTGCCTAAAGCCCTCTCACCTTAAAGGTGACACTCTAAAGAATGAACACATCAACACCTCCTGAGCCAGCAACAAAGAGACGAAGGCGTCAGCCCCTAACGCTGGGTCAGGCTGTGTTCAGGTAACTCGGAGGGAGCACCGCAGCCCAGGGACAGCCCCGGTCACTGCTGAACACACGCAGGGGAACAAAAGCTACTGCAGCAGAGGCACAAAAACAGCACAGTGCCCCCCAAAAGCACAGAGGGGCACCCTGCAGCAAAGACCTACCGAGGTGAAAGGATTCAAGTCTTTGTTGAG